GCTTTTATATGTGGTCCAAAGTGTCATGTGATTTGTACGAGTCGTTGTTTTTGTATATGTTAATTTTGTGTTTGGCTTCGTTAAATCAAATCAATGGCCTTGCTTGACGTTGGCTTATATGGGTTTTATACTCATTTTACAGTTTTAAAAGACATATTTTTGCCAAACACATTTTTCTTTCTTCAATTATTGTTAACGTCTTAAAATCCAAACTTTTTGGTTTTGGTCCTGCATTCTAAAAGCTACGTGGAAGTAACTTTTACAAAAAATCTTACAAAAATAAATATATTAAATATTTTTATCTATTTTTTTCCAGAATTATTCAAATAACTTTGTAGATTTATATCTATATAATTACAAACTAAATTTAATTGATTAAATCTTTTTTTTCTGCTTTCTTTTGAGATCCACTTCTTAAATTGTTTTTTTAATTTTTTTTAATATAAAAGTTTGCAGTTAGTTTCTACAGTTTATATTATTAAACAATTTTTTTTATATTTTAAGTAAAAGCAAAATTTTTTTACATTTAAAAGTCTACAATAAAAGCCAAGAGTAACAGCTCTTACCAAACAGGCACAACAAGATATGTGATCACTAATAATAAAATGTATTTGATATTTGTCTTGAGAATTATATAAGGCATACTGATGATTATTGAGTTTTTCTTTAAGGTTGGAAAGATGGAAAAATATGTCAATAAATGCACTCGACTCCGCTGAGCTTGGATTCCGTTGAAATCGGAATTGTTAAAACGGAATTCGATACAGCTGACGAAAAAATGAAATCGGTGAGATGTTGGAAACACTGGGTATTTTGATAAATCGGTTATGGTCGATAGAAGTTAAACCGGTTAGAATTTAGGAAATACTGCATTGGAGATCTTCTTATCTTTTCCCCAAGGAAAGATCAAAAGAAGTGCCACTTTAAATTGAAGTGCAAAAATGTGTAATTATAAAGACAACAAGTGTCATTTGGAGTAAATATTTTTATATATAATTTAATTGAATGAGTTGAAACCTGAAAACATTGATGTCTTGAAGTGTGGGACATACAATGACAAAGTCTTACACATGTTTCTGTTTTCACATTTAAACCAGAGCTTCTACAGTCTGTTCTCACATTGACCCTAGAAAAGAAGATCACATGTTAAGGCCATCAAAGAAGTGTATCTGTATTGATTGATGTATGATTATCTGTATCTCCTTGATCAGATAAAAAAAAATAATCAATACATGGGACAAGATTAGCTAGGCTATAGAAACTACAAATCTATAAAAACATTTGTCACATGATGTGTTCTTGGATAGATTATAATAGAAACTTTGTTACATAGAGGTTTGGCTATAAGAAGCTTGTATTTAGAGTAACCATTATATGCTAAATAATTTGAAATAATTTCAGTAGATTTTCTTGAGTAAACTTTTTTGAAACCAAAAAAAAGAAGCAAAATCCAACTTGCAAAATAGTGTAATACACATGAATTTTTTATTGTGGTAATCATATTTTAAAATTTGAACAGTAACAACATTGACTTTAAATCATTCATCGAAGAATCCATCTTTATATCGATAATTGTGATGTAAATCTATCTTTTGTATGCCGATGGAACATGCTGTCGGTCAAAATCCATCTATCTCTGCTTGATCTCCACAATTATTTTGGTCAAAGTATATCATATTTTCCTTTTAGATTCCGGATTTGGTCTTACATTTTTTTTACAAAATATGGTTTGATTTTGATCGCATTTGGTAATCTCTTAATATAATTATGATTTTCTTCGTCTGTGTTTAATTTTTGACCAAAAAATTGGTTAGATATGCCAAAAAAGAAAAAGACACCATTGGTCCATGATATAAAACGGTTCAACAATAGCTAAAACTATCTCAGATAACATCATCTTCAACATATTTTTCTGTAATAATATTGTCGACAAGTAAAATAATGGAGACAACATGAATGAAGTTTGCTTTCGTTGTCTTCTTAGCCGTTACATTCGGTAAAAGTCATATTTCGTAAGTATGAAAAAAAATTATATATGCAAGTTTATATTTCTAACAACATATATATTGGTTTGACTTGGTTTGCAGTGATTAGTGTCGTAACAGTTACATATGTTGAAGCAAAACGTTTATTTTCTGTACAAGATCCTTAGCTTATGTTGGATGATGAAGCTAATTGATATATTCATAAATTGCATCATTTAGTGCACATATTTAAGTCCAAATCATGTCTCATTTGCATACATTTTAGGTCTTTAGGCATTGTTACTTTAGAGATTGCATTAGGTCCAAGAGAGTTTTGCATGGTTTGGAAGTGTTAAACAGGTGCTTATGGAGTTTATTTGGAGTGGAGAATGTGATTCAGATGAAGAAATTGACTTGAAATGATCAAAAATGGTGAAAAATGGGCATTACGGAGCTTCTCAGCAAAATGCTGTACTCTGATGGTCGAATATTCTCGACCAAAATCCTTCCTGCGGGTAGATCTCTCGGCCAAAAACACGTACTAGCGGTTAAGTTTCTCGGCCAAAAATCTCGGGTGCAGATACATCTTAGAAATCACGTTACCAGAAGGTCTTGCCGTCCGATTCAGCTGTCGCGGTCTTCATGAAAGTTGTTGAGTCAAAAACCCAGAACAGTTCGAATCAGGGCATTTGGAGCACTGAGCTGAAAGATATGGCCACCGGAAGACGAACATGTCTCGCACTCATTCCGGAGAAATCCGATACGCCTCAAAGACGCCGTTACTGGGAAGCCTTCCCTTCCGATTTGGTTTACAGGGTCTTCATCAAAGTTGGATTATATTGAATCCAGGATCTATAGCAGATGGAATCATTGGATTTGGAGTTAGGATCAGATATTTAAGCTCACCGGAAGACGCACCTGTCTCGCCACCGTTTTAGACCGACCCGATGAGCTCCAAAGATTGCGAGGGACGATGCACTTCCAGACCGATTCAGTTTACAGGGCTTTCATAACGATTCACGATATTTGAGTCCTATTTCCAGAGCGTTTGAGATCATTAAATTTGGAGCTATGAGCAAGAAGATAACGTTTTCGGAATGGACACATGTGTAGAAGCCTCTTTCTGATCGTGTCAATGTACTGCAAAGATGAGCCCTCCGGGAAATCTTACACTTCCCAAGCGCCGATAGTTTCTTCACCAACGTTTGAGATATTTGAGTGCTCTTTCCATTAATGTTGGAATCATGCCATTTGGATCCATATCCTGGAAGTTACGCTCTCCTGAATGCGAAGTGGTCCGAGTGTAACTTAGGCATGCGAGATAGCCTAGCAGAGAACTGAACCGCAGAAAGATTCGCGGTTTACACCGACTTGGGCCTGCGACTTGGGACTAAAGATGACCAAATCGCACAAATATTCTCTCCAGAATGCGTCCTGGTTGTGCGAGTTGAAGAGAAGGAACCCTGAACAGCACAAACACTCGCTGTTTACTTCTAGATAGGCATGCGGTTGAGGCTGAAGGATTTAAGGCTCACAAGGCTGTTTCTATGACTGTGCGACTTGGGCCAGCGACTTGGGAAGCACCTGACCATGTCGCACACTTGAGACATGACCCATTTGAAGCCGGGTCAGTACCCAGTTTGTCCTAGGCTGACCCAGTTCATAATACTTAGTATACATATTTTTTGGGAGAAAAACCCTAGACACCTTATCTTTTATCTTCCATGCTCTCTTAGTTTTCTTTCCTTTTGAGTGTTAAAAACGAGTTTGTTAAGAGATACCTGAAGGATTTCACTAATGAGAGTTAGTTCTTGAATTTGGTAATTAACAAAGTGATTAGTACCTTGAGAGAGGATTAGTCAAAAATAGAGTTCTAGACTAAAGGATGAGCACTTTTGTGAGTTTGTAGACATCATGGGTTATCATTACACATCCCCTAATCAATTACCTTGCCCAGAGACTTGCTTTTTATTGGTTGATATTTGAATTTTCGTCATTGACTTTTGTTGACTTTTGTTGACTTTTTATGTTGACTTTTGTTGACTTTTAAGTTGACTTCTGTTGACCTCTTCTATTTTTGCTTTTTTATTTATTGTTAATCTTGTTTGAGTTTTTGATTGCTTATTTTAATCATTTTTTCAGTAGTTAATCAAACCAAAACCCCTGATTTGCTTAGCTTAAGTAATTTCTTGTATTCTTGGTGTGTTAATCTAATGACATGAGCGTATTAAGGAATTGATTTAGAAAAAAAATTTCTTTATCAACTTGGCGCTGTTGCCAGGGATTTAGCATTAGCCATTAGGATTTAGATTCTACTTGAGACTAAGCTTTTATTTTTACCTTGTTTCCTCATCTTTGGTTGAAATGATGAACTTATTTTTATTCATTGTTACTAACTTGTTTTCCTTAGTTCTCTTATGCTTTCAAAGGTACCAAAAAAAGAAGAAGAGAAGTGAGAAGACAAGAGCATATGAGGTGTTGGAGGTGAACCATCAAAATGGTATTCAAGAAGATCCACAGCCTCAAGAGGTGGCTAATCATGGGAGCATAATTAATCTCCAAGCTCTAAAACCTCAAGAATTGCCACTACATCAAGAATTGGCTTCAAGTCTAACCCAAGCTCCAAAGAAAAAGCCAACAATTGGAAGCTATGACACTCCTTGTTGTCATGGAAAAAGGTATGGAATCCACCCTCCTCCAACTGAAGCTGAGACCTATGAGATCAAAGCAAGCTTCGTTAGGTTGATTCAAGACTCTAATTTCTTGGGGTTAGGAATGGAGAACCCATATGATCATTTGGACTCCTTTGAGAGGTTTTGTGACACATTTAGAACTGGAGGAGTGCCCCAAGACAGTATCAAGCTCATCTTGTTCCCATTTTCACTTGGGAATAGGCAAGCAAATGGGAAAGAGCATTACCATCTCACTTGGTCAATTCTTGGGATGACTGCAAGATGATCTTCCTTCAAAGGTTTTATACCATACAAAGAACTGTTCAACCTAGGAAAGACATCTTGAGCTTCAAACAAGGAACCCATGAGACCTTTGATGAAGCATGGGAGAGACTTAAAGGATACACTAGAGAATGTCATCATCATGGCTTCAAACAAGAAGCTATCCTTAGTATCTTCTACTGGGGAGTTGATATAGAGCATAAATGGACATTGGATGTAGCTAGCAATGGGCGTTTTGCAAATCTTACCATAGAACAAGGATAGCTACCTGTTGAGAATTTGGCCAAGAGTAATGAAAGATACAAGGAGCTTGATATTGAAGCTTGTAAAGATGGTCAAGGTGAGGTGGAGCTTTGTTTTCAGCAAGAGTTTGTTCCACAAGGGCAAGTTGCTTCAAAGCCTCAAGAAATGGAGTTGAACAGCATGTTCCAACAACTTCTCAAGGGACAAAATGAGATCACCAGAAGAGTGAAGAGTTCTTACAATGATCCCCACAAAAAAATAGAGAGTTTAACCTCTCAAGTGAAACACATGGAGATCAAAGATCATGAAGCTGCTATAAATGAGATAGAACGTCTGCTCTATAGTACACAACAAGACATTGCTCTTCGAGGTCTTTCTTCACAAGAAAATGAGGACATTGAGCAACTCAGTAGGGAGGTGACCCTTGAAACTGAAGTTTTTGCTATAAAAGACGTCCATAGAGCTTCTAGAGACAAGGTTCAGATTGTTGCTGAAGAGAAGGCCAAGCAAAAGCTCAAGAAGGAAGAAAAGTCTATTGAGCCGCCAGCCTACGTGCCTCCAAGTCTCTGTGATGAGTTTCAACACTTTGAGATGAAGTATGTGGGGAATTGTGGAATGAAAGAGAAGGATCAGCCTCTTAGAGGTTGTGAGAAAAAGAAAGAACGCCAAAGAAAGCTTGATCTTGAGTTCATTGATGGTGAGAAGTTCTTTAGTGATGATGAGGATTGCTTGAAACTTCAATCTTCTACACAAATGAGGAAAGAAGTTTCTTGCAAAGTGGTTCAAGAGAAAGGTGAAAGTCCTAATTCTAAGATAAAGAAGCCTAAAGAAGCTCACTCTCCTACCATTTCCAAGAAGAAACCAAGCAAGACCAAGGAGGAAGAAACTTTGCCAGACAAATCCTCCACTACCACTCTCATTCCATTGACTCATCAAGATGGAGTGATTGAGTATAAGGTCAAGTGTAGAGGAGGGTCTAAGCCATTTGCAAAGGTCAGAGCAGTTCTCACTCAAGAGCTGAAGGACAAAGGTGAAGATGGTATTGAGGAACTCATGAGGAAAGTGGTGAGGCTTGAATTCAAAGAAAATCCAGGGAGTTCTCTACTCTCTCTCTCTCTCACTAAGCAAAAGGTATGGAAAGTCAAACTTAGTGACTTAAAACAAAGTGCACTTGGGAGACATTCCCATGTCTATTATTGTATATACTCTTTTTTATTTGATATCCAATTTTAATTCTATGTTTTGGGAGCCTTTTGATCTTTTTGTTAAGTGTTTACAAGGTTATTTGATTGTCTAAGGGTTGAGACGTGTTGGACAGAGACCAAGGACGTGCATCAGCTAGTCTATGGTGATGATTGAGTGTCCATCCCCATCTCCAATTCCCTAAAAGGTAACACTCCAAACCTGTACATAGCATTCAAGCATCTAGTTTTTCATTTTCTTAGTTTATCTTTTTCATGTTTGTTTTTCCTTTTTATCATGCTTTTATAACACAGGGGATTGTGTTATTTGAGTGTGGGGGAGGAGTTTCGTGTTTACTAATCATGTTTTCTCTTGTTCTTATTTTTATTTGCATCTTGAGTCTGCATCCAAGTGCATATAAAAACCATAAAAATTAAAAAATCTGAAAATTTTTCACAAAAAAATGTTCATTTAGTTGCATTCACATTTTTAGGATTGAGTCTTGTTGCATAATCATGTAGGTTGCATCATTTTCATGGGAGTAATGATAGGTTTCTTTGAGAGAGAATCATCTTAAGAACTTGAATTCATAGCCCTAGTTATTAATTCTCTATTGCTTGCAAAACTGGTATGAAATCATGGGTGAACCATGCTTGGAACTGATGTCTCAATGCTTCTGTGTTAAGTTGGATCAAGTTGTGATTAACTCTAGGCTTGCTTAAGTGAAAACCATAATTTGACAATCCAATTATCATGTTTGAGCATATCATTGTGAACTCATGGGTACCACAAAATACTTGAGCTCTCTTATCCCTTTTTGCCACTCTTTGCTAGCTCAAATAGCTGTTCTCTCATCTTGAGACAGTTCCCTTGCCTTTAACCAAACCTTCTTTGAAGCCTGAAACACTATATTGAGAGATGTGAGGTCTTTCTGTGAATAAACTTGACAGAAAGTGTTGGGTTTAGGACGACAAGAGTAGAGTTTCCTGTAGATCTAGCTCTGCATCATGAGTCTAGAGTAGGCTAGGAAGAGATCTTGGGAAACACTGAGTGGAAAAGAGAGAGTTTGAGATGAGAACCAGGGGATGGAAAAGAAAATGAAACGGTTTGTGGTCTGTTGTTTAAAGAAAGAAAGCTCTTGTTTTTGGAAAAGTAAAGTCTAGCCTCTAAGTGAAAAGAAAAGAGAAGAAGCCAAAAAGGCTCAAGTGTTTAAAGTGAAAAGAAAAGAGGCTAGACAATGCTAAGTGAGAAGGAGCTAAGTGAAAAGGTTTAGACCCCAAAGCCTGAGTTTGAAAATGAAAAGATGAATCCCCTGGTGAGTAAAAGATTGAGAGTTAAGTGAGAAATGGGTTGAGAAGGCAATGAATGCCTTGAGAGAAGGGTAGCTTAGGTGTGTTCTTCATGGGTTTAGAGTTAAGGTGAAAGACCGACTTGGGGCATTGGGTAGATGGGATTCTATCAGCTGCCTTTTACCCTTAGCCTTCTGTTAAAGTTTATTCCTTCTTGAGTGATCCCTTGAGCTGCATTGAAACCCACAAGCATTGAATGAGATCATTTTAATCTCATAACCCTGTCCCAAACCAAATGAGTTCACATGATTTGCATGAGCATGATCCACATGATAGTTAAATGAATGTCAAAGGGCTGGAGTTAGGAATTCTTGTGAAAGTTGACACTTGATTTTGGTTCACTTGGTGATGAGCATAGCTAGGTTTTATGGGTACACCAGTTTGTATTGCAATTTAGAATTAGTAACTATGACCATGAGTTGAACTCTTTTGATGATTACTCTCTCTCTCTTTGAGAAATGTGAACTCCCAAGCATTCAACCTCACTCTCTTATTTGTTCTTTTTTCTTGAGGACAAGCAAAGGATAAGTGTGGGGGAGTGGATATATTCATAAATTGCATCATTTAGTGCACATATTTAAGTCCAAATCATGTCTCATTCGCATACATTTTAGGTCTTTAGGCATTGTTTTAGGACTTTAGAGATTGCATTAGGTCCAAGAGAGTTTTGCATGTTTGGAAGTGTTAAACAGGTGCTTATGGAGTTTATTTGGAGTGGAGAATGTGATTCAGATGAAGAAATTCACTTGAAATGATCAAAAATGGTGAAAAATGGGCATTATGGAGCTTCTCGGCAAAATGCTGTACTGATGGTCAAAGATTCTCGGCCAAAATCCTTTCTGCGGGTAGATCTCTCGGCCAAAAACACATACTAGCGGTTAAGTTTCTCGGCCAAAAACCTCGGGTGCAGATACATCTCAGAAATCACGTTACCGGAAGGTCTTGCCGTCCGATTTAGCTATCGGGGTCTTCGTGCAAGTTGAAGAAAATTCAGTCAAAAACCCAGAACAGTTCGAATCAGGGCATTTTGAGCACTGAGCTGAAAGATATGGCCACCGGAAGACGAACATGTCTCGCACTCATTCCGGAGAAATCCGATGCGCCTCAAAGACGTCGTTACTGGGAAGTCTTCCCCTCTGATTTGGTTTACAGGGTATTCATCAAAGTTGGATTATATTGAATCACGGATCTATAGCAGATGAAATCAATTGATTTGGAGTTGGGATCAGAGATTTAAGCTCACCGGAAGACGCACCTGTCTCGTCACCGTTTTAGACTGACCCGATGAGCTCCAAAGATCGCAAGGGACGATGCACTTCCAGACCGATTCAGTTTACAGGGCTTTCATGAAGATTCACTATATTTGAGTCCTCTTTCCAGAACGTTTGAGATCATTAAATTTGGAGCTATGAGCAAGAAGATAATGTTTCCGGAATGGACACATGTGTAGAAGCCTCTTTCTGATCGTGTCAATGTACTGCAAAGATGAGCCCTCCGGGAAATCTTCCACTTCCCAAGAGCCGATAGTTTCGTCACCAACGTTTGATATATTTGAGTGCTCTTTCTATTAAAGTTGGAATCATGCCATTTGGATCCATACCCTGGAAATTACGCTCTCCTGAATGCGTAGTGGTCCGAGTGCGACTTAGGCATGCGAGATGGCCGAGCAGAGAACTGAACCGCAGAAAGACTCGCGGTTTACACCAACTTGGGCCTGCGACTTGGGACTAGAGATGACCAACTCGCACAAATATTCTCTCCAGAATGCGTCCTGGTTGTGCGAGTTGAAGAGAAGGAAGCCTGAACAGCACAAACACTCGCTGTTTACACTTATATAGGCATGCGGCTGAGGCTGAAGGATTTAAGGCTCACAAGGCTGTTTCTATAGCTGTGCGACTTGAGCCTGCGACTTGGGAAGCACTTGACCATGTCGCACACTTGAGACATGACCCATTTGAAGCCGGGTCAGTACCCAGTTTTTCCTGGGCTGACCCGGTTCATAATACTTAGTATAAATAGGTTTTGGGAGAAAAACCCTAGACACCTTATCTTTTATCTTCCATGCTCTCTTAGTTTTCTTTCCTTTTGAGTGTTAAAAAACGAGTTTGTTAAGAGATACCTGAAGGATTTAATCAATCTAAAGCTGTTTCTAATCATCTCATCTTGTTATCTTTGCTTCTAATCATGATTAACATCACCTCTTGCAAAAGATTAGGTGTGTTAATCATGATTAGTGAGAATAGTTTTTTATAGTCTTTGGGCATGGTAGATTAGGGGAATTTGATGTTAAATCTTTTATGTCTAGGTCTTAATCCATAGTTTCCTTTCTTGTTTAGTGTTCTTAATGCTTGATTAGGCTAGAAATAGTTAATCAAAGGTCTTAGGGAATTTCATGAACACAAGGTGTTTGATAAAATTCCCCAAAGAACTAAGCAAGAGTTTTTCATGATTAGCCTATGAGAATGGATGTCTAATGTGACTAATTAGTTAATGGAACTTGTTTACAATGCTTTTGATTGCTAATTTAACTAATGAGAGTTAGTTCTAGAATTTGGTAATTAACAAAGTGATTAGTGCCTTGAGAGAGGATTAGTTAAAAATAGAGTTCTAGACTAAAGGATGAGCACTTTTGTGAGTTTGTAGACATCATGGGTTATCATTAAAAATCCCCTAATCAATTACCTTGCCCAGAGACTTGATTTTATTAGTTGATATATGAATTTTTGTCATTGACTTTTGTTGACTTTTGTATGTTGACTTTTGTTGACTTTTAAGTTGACTTCTGTTGACCTCTTCTATTTTTGCTTTTTTATTTATTGTTAATCTTGTTTGAGTTTTTGATTGCTTATTTTAATCATTTTTTCAGTAGTTAATCAAACCAAATCCCCTGATTTGCTTAGCTTAAGTAATTTCTTGTATTCTTGGTGTGCTAATCTTAATCTCTTTGGATTGATACCTTAATATTGCAATGACATGAGCAGGAATTAATTTAGAAAAAAAATTCCTTTATCACTAATTCACCGCAGGCTATATTGTGAAAGTCCTGCATCGGTAGTTGCAGAATTGGAGATAAGTGGATTAGCCTTTACCATTTAAATACTACATTACAAATTCTGCAACTACTCCGTCTCACACTCACACCAATCAGGATTGAAGCGTGGAATTCTGTGGGAACAAACATCCACAGGGAGGCCTCTAATCGGGTGGAAACCTAAAGATCGGGTGACTCTGATACCTAAGGAATTCAGGAGTACGATCAAAGTGTATAAAATATCTATGATCTCTCTCATGTTCAACATATTTGTCTCTGCGGTGACCAGATATTATATCCTTGAACCTTTAAATTTTGTTCTGGAAAGCTGAGATGTCCGATTAAGATCCTAATAACATTCATCATAAGAAAGTTATTTGAACTTCACCAGATACTCCTTCACATCATCTTCTCCCCTCCAAGAAATGATCCGGTCCACAGTGGTCCACTCAGTAGGAATGGCCACAAAGTCTTCTTCCTTGTTACTCACAGACTCCGTTTAGATTGAAATTTCTTCACCCTTCTTTTTTAAACAAGGGATGGATTTGTTAGCCTTTTAAAATTCCTCCTCTGACACCCAAGAGCAGTGTACAGCTCAAATTTGGAGACCTCAAAGATGGAACTATCAGGTTTCCAACATACCACATTATGGAATCAAGATCAATAGATGTCGTAGGACGCATTTCATAGTTCAGAATCTTTTCCATTTCGATAAGACCCGCGGCCAACAACCCTTTCACCA